TTGTTTTGCTTTTAATATATGCGGTTTACCTCAGCAGTTTACCTCAAAATATAAGTTATATGGCACCTTTAACATATTTATTTATTTATTTTGGAGTAGCGTACTTCAGATCACTATTTCTTGTAATTATATTTTGAACAATAAGCTAGTCTCTTTAGGAGGAGTTTGGGGACTAATATTTTACTTTTTAAATAGTATGGTCCCCCTTGGGCAAGGGAGAAAGTGAGAGAAAGCTCAGAGTATATTCCAAAATATTGGTCTACAAGCAGATAAAACTTGCTAACTTCTACCTCTGAATATCATATCCCCTTCCTCTCATTTTTCTTAAAAATGATCCTTTTTTATGCCACACTTACCTGATAAGGTTCACAGGCAAAAGAAAGGATAACTATGAAAACAAAGTAATGGGAGAGATTTGAAAAGGAAAACTGGGGCAGAAAGAAGCAAGCACTTCAGTTAAGTCAGTCATTAAGAACAAATAATTCTACGCAGGACCGAGCACTATTAATATCACCCTGGCCTGGAGATAAGAATCATTGTTACAGCTTAAGATAGATTTGCATTTGTGATTGGCCTTTATTTAAACACACAAATACTTTTCAGAGTCACAGTGAGTGAGACACAGTGGCATGTGCAATTTAGCACTTCTGCAGCGTTTCTAGTCCAGAAGAGACTGGAAGGAAACATCTTGTAAAAAAAAAAAATAGTATTTGTATTAATCTATTTAAAACACCCACTTTCATAATATTGTGTAAGTCGTCGTAATATTGTGTATTGTCGTAAGTCAGTAAATGGCAACCTACATGTATTACAGATGTTAGTAGTCTAACTGCTACCTTTTCAGGCTGATCCTTTCCCTACGGTCTCCCGCGCGCGGTTACCTCGACGAGTGAAACGCCTGCCTGAAGGAAACCGGGCAGACACCCGCGTTGGTTCGTGGCTGACTAAAGAGCAGAGCGCGCGTAACCTGCCCGGCGGGCTCCGGGTCCCCCCATGGCATTTGCAGCGCGTGGTTTCCCAAGGCTCCGGCTGCAGGGAGCAGCTCCCGGGCAGGAATAACAGCCGTGCTCCCTGTGTCCCGTCCCTGGTGACATAAATAAATAGGGCACGCTGATCAGTTTCAGCATGATCCGGCTGTGGCCTTTCTTTGTCCCACTGCCAGGAATTTGCAGGAATCGAGCAGCACCAGCACGGCGCTCTTCAGGCCTAGGATGTAGCCCCAGCACGGGAGCGCTCTTTAACTGCTTTGGAAGCTCCTAAAGGCGAATTCTTTGGTAGGATATTCATAGAAACCAGCCAGGCTGCACGCAGACTGCTGGCAGTGCCCCAGCAGGTAGCAAGGGAGGCAGATGACTGCAGGAGGAGAGCATGTCCATACCCACCCGGGGAAACTGCTTTTAAGGGACAGCCGCTGGCAGCATTAGTATAATATTGGTCTTCTGTAGACTGGAAAATGTACATTGGCAGGCCTTGAACTCCTGAAGAACAGCTTCAGGTTGGACCCCTTCCAAACTGTCTGCACACCTCACTTCTTGCTGTCGAGTGGCCGCTTCTGGGGTGCTAAACTCAAAGCCCCCAGCCCTGAGTTACCAGCTCGAGTCATTAGAGGTTTTGCAGGAATAGGTACAGAGCTAGGAACTTCACCAACTACTAGGAAAACTTTTTTTTTTTTTTTTTAATCCCTCAATTTTAGTTTGTGGTTATTTGAAAGCACGTCCTCAGTTGTTTTAGAGTATCTCACCTAAACCTTCACGGAAAGGAAACAGCTAAGGAAGCACGTGCCCATTTTTTATTTGCAAACCTTAGCCTGTGGTAAATAGTTGCTAGGAATGAAATCATCTCCAAGCGTAAAGGAGTGTGTAGCTGCCCAGTCAGCCCTACTTTGACACGTTTCTCAGAACCCGTTTTGCATCTGTTGGCACCCAAGAAATGCAGCAAATATAGGCCAGGATAAAGCCTACCTGAAATTAATGCTAGCATCTTAGGTGAAGTCCAGGCACGCTGTGCTAGTTCATGGAAGCCGAATAATCAACAGCCTGTACTCCACTTACTAAACTAAATATTTTAGCTGGCTGTTTTTCTTCCTGCAACCAGACATGTCTCAAGTTCGCAAGGCAGGTACAGAAAGAGAGAGAAGAGGAGAAAAAAATGACAAGAAAAATGTCTGTGGACTTCATAGCTAAGCAGAAAGTGCTTATGGCAGTCAATAGAAGAGAGAAACTGGTAACAGGGCAGGGAACAGTGACAAAAGGACATGAGCCGTCATCTCCGCTTCCCCGTGCTCAGAAAGCTGTCCTCTACCCCTCTCTCATTCTCTGTCAGGAATACGGAAGAACAGAAGATTTTCTCTGTGATCTTCCTTTTGGTACTGCTATGTGCTCAAGTTAAGAGTACAGTCAGGTACATAATGAGAGAAAATAGTCGCTTTGCCAGTTACTGGGATTTCTTCTCTGGAGATCTTCAAAACTTGGACTCAGTCCTGTGCCACGTGCTCTAGGTGACGCTGCGTGTGCAGGGGGGTTGGACTAGATGACCTCTAGAGGTCCCTTCCAACCTTGAGCATTCTGTGATTCTATGATGTTATCATCCCACTGCCCTCTCCTTATTTCCCATACATTTGAGAAGGTGCAACAGCAAGACTAGAAAGGGGGAATAGATTCAGAAGTGCATATCTAGGAGTAGGAGACTGTTGGAGATTACTCACGGGCAAACAGACCTTGTTTTCGATGATGCTACTGAAACACACAGCAGGAGGTCCAGTAGGAACATTAAATCAATCCTCACCAATTGCTCTTACGTCTTTTAATACTAGAATAACCAAATTAGTATGAATTTTGCAAGAAGCCCGTTCATAATTCATACAGGAATCAATGAAAGCAGACCATCGCTATCCTCACCTCCAGGTCTCCTGCTCTGCCTCTTCACACGTGGGTTTTTGTTGTACCGATTTCGCTCTGGCTTTAAAGCCATTGAACGTACTGCCAAAAGACCAAGAAAAATGAAGTATAGAAGACGTGCAGTGAGGGGACAGCACTAATGGTAAAAATGTTCACAGTGAGGTTCCAGGAAGACGCATTCTGGGCACCAAGCGCAACAAGAATTCTGAAAGCCATATACAAATCTAAACTCTTTAAAAAAATGTTTTTATTGATTCATTACCATACAAAATTTATTCAAATTACATCCATTTGAAGTGGTAAGATCACAGCTAGAGAACAGGTCATCCTTTAATAAATCTATTTACAAAACTCACCATAAAAGCTTTTTTTTGTTGTTTTTTTACAGTATTTTACAGAGTTTTTTTTCAACTAGCATACAATGCAAAGCTAAATTAGATTAGTATTTTGCCCACGCACACTGGGACAAGTGTTTAATTTGTACAAAAAGATGATCTCCATTAGTCTTCATTTTCTCTTTCCCCACAAAGTGCCCCTTTGTCTCACAAATCTTCATGCTCACATAACTTTTACTTTCCTCTTCCACAGACTAAAACTTTAAATACTACAATTTTATTTACAGATCCACATCTAAAAAAACTTTAAAAAATTACAAACGAGCTAGAAAATATTCTGGCAGTGTTTACAAATTAATTCTATTGTACAAAACTGCTAGATAACTAAAGTGTGAGTTAAGAACATATATCAACTTAAATACAACCGCTGAATGATCTATGCACACGTTTGTACATATAAACACACACTTAACACTGTTTAACAGTTCTTAATGTGTTGCCCTTTATACATCTGTTATATTCCAAAACTCACACAGTCATACAGTTTTCCTGTTAGTACTGTGACTTCTTGCCATTTCATGTGTGAGCTTTTATAGCAGCAACTCAATGGTACCAGAAAACCTGCATACATAATATTCTACTACAGTACAAATAGTACTAATTTTCTGAGTATGTCAGATAAGCACAACAGTAATGCAAACAAAAGGATTATATGGGCATCATCTAATCAACATACATTAATTTAGCCCAGACCATGGCAACATATTTTACACTCAAAAAAAAATATTTAAGACTTCTTAGAATTCCTCTCACTTTCGAAAAATAAATATTGGTACTATACTATACTACCAAAGATTTTCAAAAAATAAATGCAATTCAGTTGATGTGGTACTTACAGTTATGTACTTTGGAAAAAAAAAGTTAGTTCTATTTCGCTGGCGAGGAGAATTATAAAAAGCTGTAAGCAGAGGAAGCTAACCCACTGAGATAAATATGATATATTGAACAAACAAAGCTTGGCGTGTTTTCCATAGAGGGAAAAACCCACAGTGCATCTCTAGTAGGCACTTAGCACAAAGCCCCACTTAGTACCACAAAAATTTATGTACCAGTTCTAATGCACACTGGGGGCAGTAAAATTGAACTGTGCATCTTCGTCCTAGTTAAAAAAAAAAAAAAAAAGAAAAACAAAAAGAACTACTTTCACACACACACATACACACACACATTTACACAAGCATTTTTAAAAATCTGTGGTTACTACGAGAAGTGGCAGAACATTATACTTTTCAATATTTGCAATATACACTACATTTACAGTGTATTTTTATTAAAAGCTTTTAAGGACATAAGTATTTGACCTCATAGTGAGACATATACACAGCTCAAAATGAGCCTTATGACAGCAATTTAAACATTCCCACAAATAGCTGAAGAATCCCGTTTCACGCTCCCGCTTTACTTCATATTTTCGTTTACGGCAGGTACAATCCATGTTGTGAGACTCGAAAGACATGCATTCTCTGCAGAAGGCACGACCTGAAATACTATTATAAAATTGTTATTTATGACTAAACCAGTTCATTGAGCCCTTCTCCATAAGCTCACTTGTCAGGGTAAGCAGAGACTGGGGAGTGTAAAAAGAAAATATTTATGGTCACTCACTTGCACTTGCTGACTCACCAGGCGCTGGAGCTTAGGGTCAAGGAGGAGGCTTTCTTGCAAAAGCCTTCAGCTGCTTTCTTGTGGTATCTTAGGGAGCATTTAATTAAAATATCAGCACTGTTCAGGAGCCTGGACTATTTAATAATGCTATTTTATAGTAAGGAGGGGGCTACTCAATGATGGCAGGTGTTCCATTTCTAGTAAAAACATGATTTAAATATGGACATCTCATTTAGGAGAATCAGCTGTATATAAATTCATCTACCAATGAAGGAAGCTTCTCTAAATCATAAGCATCAAAAAGGTCACTGATGCCTTCTTCATCCCCAAGACTCAGCAAATAATCTTCCTGAAGCAGAGGAGGCAGCAAATTCACAAATGGTCCTTCAAAGTTTGAGGGAATTTGGTCCTCGGTCTGCTGGAGAAGGTTGGCTGGAGAAGCCAGTGGAGAGAGAGTTGCCATATTCACTGAGCAGTCACCTTGTCCTGAGTTACCAGAAGCCACTTCTGGAAGGAGAGGAAGGAGGGAAACACAGAGATACATTTAATCCCGTTAGAAATGTTTGACACGGACGAAAAAAAAAAGTAACTACTGTATAATGAACCCCTCGCAAAGCAACGTTTAAACAAAAATCTAGTTCAGAAAATTTCTAAACACTTTTCGATATGTTGCAAATAGCTTCTTAAAAATACCGATGTTGCTGTTTCCACTAGCTTTTCAATAAACGATTATTTTATAAGGTTTAAGCAATTACTGAAAAAAAAAAATTGCAGGGGAAGATACCCTTTCTTCATGGGAACTCACAATCCTAAATACTTCAAGACAAAGATTTTCTATCTAATAAATGTCCTCAGAGACACCAAGTAGCTCCATACGTCAACATACACAGATTTCTGCCTTTGCTTCAAGACAAATCTTTGCTGTTTATCCAATTACTGAAATTTACTTATTGAAAGTTATTTTAGCCAACTGATGCAAAGGAAAATATGTTGTTTTTTCCCCAACATACAAAATCTCAGGTTTTTGCTGCAAGGAAAAATAAAGACAAAAGGTAAGAGATCTGTATATGAATTCAGAACGGCATCTGAAAGCAGAAAGGAAGGCTGCTAAAGTATGGCAGAGAAAGAAACTTACCTTTGGAAATGGTCTTGGAAATATTTCCATTGTGGTCCTGACTATAGGTTTTCATTGGACTGAGAGCATCGGTTTCCTCTGGGCATAGATAAACTTCAATAGGTCCTTGAGTACTAGATAAATGTATCAATGCACTCTGCTGAGAAAACAGATGTCAGCAGGATTTTAAAATAATGAACACAACAGAATATTGACAAGAGCTAGCATGTTCTTGCTGGAGCAATGTTTGTAAAAATTAACAGAATTAAAAATCCCCCAGGCATTTCATTTTTTTGAGTAGGTGAAAGGCTTGGCTGCTATGAACATGAAGAGAACATAAAAGATTTTCCCAATGTTGAAGCCCATCATATGAAGCCCATCATACTGCATGTTGTATCATAACCAGAGGTATATAAAAAATCAAAACCCTAACATCTGCTTATGTAGTCTCATGGAATGAAACTACGGTGTGCAAGTCATAGGTTTTATTAATAACAAAAAATATTGGATATGTTTGTGTAAATGTTTCTTCTGTAAAACAAAGCCAAAACATCCTTCCCATTTCTCGCAACATTCTTCTTCAGTATTCCGGTTCACGCTGAACTCAAAAAGCTGTATATAGATTCAACCATTTAACATGATTCTTTTCCAATTAGATAGACAAAAAAAGTTGTCCTTTACTCAGCCAAACTTTTTCATCTAAGTCCTTCCCTCCCTCGCCCAAGGAGGCTACTCTAATTCTCAAGGTGTCATTCCAGAATGAGGAGAATTTTGAATTCATCTCAAGAAGGCAGGTTTCCTAGCTTTCATATATTGGTGCAATAAAGCTAGTGACATATACAGACAGATAAAACATCTGAAACATTATTCTTGGGGTTATGATGGAGAATCATAAATGATTCCAGTTAAAAATAAACCTGCTACAGCTGTATTACATTACATTTAAAAAGCATGAATACAGCCATTATAGCTCTTGGTAGACTTGGTTCCATGCTTTTAATTGCGCCCTTTGACACAAAGTTCCTCCCCTTGTTTATATTCTGACAATTTATAGCAGGACATGGCACTCACTGTTTTACAAATACAGAGAACAACAGGGATAGGCACAGAAAACATTAAGGGTATTTAAGGAGAGGTCCAGGAAACGAGGCTGTAGGTCAGTAGAAAAGAGGAGACACACAGAGAGATGAAGAACAACCTGCAGAAAAGCTGATAAATGCAAAATAGACATGGCCATGTGACTGTGAATGAGAGAAAGAAATTGTTCTACCTGTAGAAAAGCTGATAAATGCAAAATTGACATGGCCATGTGATTGTGAATGAGAGAAAGAAATTGTTCTACTGCCCAAATCTTAAAACCAAATGAGTGAGTAAGTTGTGTATAAAGGATAAGGGAATTTCAGGCAATACTTTAATTGATCGTGTGTTCTCTAATCTACCTGCTTTAATTCACTGAATTAAAAATCAGAGCATAACAAAAATCAGACCTAGGGAAAAAGAAAACAATAACTATCCGTATTTATGGATATTGATAGAAGATTCCCCCTCCCCACTGCAGGAAAATGATGTGTTCTTCCAAAACCCTGCACTCATGATCAAAGATGAAATTAAGGACAACAGCAGAGTAAGAAGGACAATTCAATGGGCCTAAAGCAATTACAGAAGAATCTTAGTAAAGACAGAATTTGGAAGAATCTGTTACTGCCCCACCCTGGCATAGGTAGAGCCCAGCTCAGTGGAATCAACTCAACATTAATAATGAAGGAATAATGTACGAACACAGCAGATGATTTTTTTTGGGGGGGGACGGGGGGGTGGCTTGTCTTTAGTTTTTTATAGATTGAAGAAATAAGGTGCGCTTTTTGAATGTCTAAAGCAATGGCTATTTGCAAATCTGCAAATGGTTTACATTTGTCCAATATTCTCGGGTTTGCTATATTAACTGGGAATTATAAAGCTGAAGGTTTTGCCACCAAGAGATAAAAATCACAGCAGTAGCTGACTTACGTGGTCCAAAACCTTGGGAGATATGAAGAAAAGTAAAGCTACTCCCTGAGGACATCTTCAAAGAAAAGTCACCTGAACCATTTTCTTCTGTAATTGCCACAGCAGGTAGAGGAAGTACGAAGCAGCTAATTTACCCTAGACATCTACCTGAGATGAGGAAAAGAAACAAAACTGGGACAGAAGAATGAGGACCAGGCATCTCTGTACAAAAGCTGGCACTGGCGGCCTGTGGCTTCCGTAGCAAAGGTGATGGAAGCGAGATGTCGATGAACACTGAGAGCGTCGGGAATAGAAGTACTTATAATGAAAGCAGGAAAGGAAATCAGCATCCCATGTACACACATCACAGTGGCAAACAAGGAGGGGCACAAAGGGAGTGCAGTACGAGGCTCTACACAGGAGGGTAGAATCAGTGTCAGTGAAGCAAAGACGATAAAGGAAGAAGAAAGAGTCAGAATAGATTATACGAAAAAAAAAGTTGCTACAATGACTTCAATACTTGAAAAAATCCCACATGAAAACAAATATCTCAGTAAGTTAGAATATCAGTAATGTGAGTTATCAAGATGTTTATGGGGAAAAATTTGGACTAAACTGTATAAAAACTAGAGGGATAAGAGCTGAATCTCTTAAAAGAAATATTTTACAGTCTTATAAACGGGAACATTCAAATATTAAGGAAGAATTCTTAATATAAAGTATGGCAAGGGAGAATAATTTACAAAATGTGTGGATTATTTTGAAGAAAAAGCTAGAATTCAGAGAAAAGGAGTGAAACGAAATGGTAGAATTTCAGGATTGCAGAGAGGAGAATAATGAGTGCCTTATGCAAATGACTTTTTTTTGAGATTCCTCTTAAAAATAGCTCTGAAGTTTTTAAGAAGAATGAATATAGAATGGTATGCCAATACAACCCAACTTGGACATCGGTTACCACAGTAAAATTCACAGCACACTTTATCTGTAGAAAAATGATATATGGGGCAGGAAAAGTCAGTCTCTTCTTACCTCCACTGGGTCAGGCACTTCAAGTCTTGTTTCTGGAGGAGCTTTCACAACTATAACAGTTTGGTCTTTAAGGCCACTAATTTTTCGAATGTCTTGATATGTCACATAAGCTAATGTAATCAGCATTAAGGAATTTTCCAGCCCATGTTACAATATATTCATGCTATTAGAAAAGACATAATTCTTTGAATTATTTTTCCATTTTCTCATGGCTACATCCGTTTTTCCTCAGCCCTGTTTTAAGTTTCCTATTCTCTGCGCTCAAAGTCATGCTTCACAGCCCTACTCTGACAAAAGGCTGGTTGTGATTGTAATCAGAGCGTGTGAGAACTTCTGTGTGATACAGTAGCTGGGGCTGCCTCTGAGTGACAAGAAGAATTTTCTGAATACTTTCCTCTCTTGTCTTTTATGTGTGTAAGAGTACATGAACTAACCCCCCCTCCAACCTGCCCTTACTCAGTATGAGGGAAAAAATTTATATGCTTGCAAACAAGATGCAAAGAACTGGACACATCAGGAAAAAACATAATGGAAGATACAGATATATATTTTAGATGCTTATATGCAATATTTCTGAAGTTTTCAATAAAACTATAATTTCAATTTGCTTTGGGGGATTTTATTTTAGTAACCAGCTATCAAGGAAGCCCAACAATTTTTTATTTGCATATCACCTGGTAATTTGTGGTTAGACTTTTGGAAAAGGTTGGGAGTGGGGTGGAGTGGTGGGAACTGTGACCTGTTTTAGTAAACATATACTGTTACTTCACACTACAACAAAACAAACTGCCCAAGCTCAAAACACAAACGAACAAATGCAAAAAGTGCCCGGTGGGCTTTCATGTAAATTCCAGGCTTTACCAGTCCTTTACCAAGGTCTGCAAAGGCAGAGTGCAATTTACAGTAACAGCGTCTGCCAGAACCTGCAAAGACAGGAATGGACTGTATCTTTTGGAAATTAAGCAACAGTAGTCTTCCTCTCTAATAGATCTGGCTTGAAATTGGTGCAAAAATGTGACAGGCCATGTCCATTAGACAACCCATCAGATCCGACTACTGTATCAAATTACCCTTCAGATAAACCACCTCATTTCTCTTCCTATTTTTGACAAAGTTCTTGAAATTCTGCAGCTTAGCTAGCTGACAAAGTGAAACTTTCACTTTCCTTTGCTGTAGCCAAAAACTGCCCGAGCTGATAATGGTCGTATTTCAAACCATTGACAGTGATGATGAGTTATTTTCTGATTCTACTTATAGGAAAGATTAGAAACCATTCAGCCAGGGCATAAGTGATTCTTGGGCACTGCTAATCATCAGAAAAGAAACAGTTCTAAAAACAACAGCTTTGCCTTCCAAGACTGAGGGAAGGAAGAAGCTTCTCAGTCCCATCAATATTCAAAGGGCACCTCTTGACAGACTTCAGTGAAATAAGTAGAAAACTGTATGAGGACGCAAGGAGATTTATCCCCTGGTTTAGCACTGCTGCACTCCTACCTCAATAATCAGTAGTATTATCAGCAAATGCTCAGCACACTGCTTGTGGTGATGCCCTCTTTGCCCACTGCTGAGAGAACCAGTAAACTCAGGGCAGGGAGTTCTGCCATGGCAATCAGTATGTGGAAAAAACCATAATGCACAGTTTTGCTTTGCTTAAATCTCATGGATCTAGCTCTTAGTATAAGGCAGTGCTGGCCCTTTGCCACTTGGTCATCTATTTCCACAGGCATTTTGAAATGTAAGTATATTCAAAAGGGAATACTTATATAGTTCAGAGTTATTTCATACCCTTTCAAACACAGAATAAGTCCAGTTTCTTATATATTCTTTGAACTACCTTTGAACATTTTAAAGCAAAAAAAGTTTTCACACCAGCATTTAATAAAACACTCTTCTGTTGCTAGAGGATGGAATATCTCATAAGGAACATAAGAATTGCTTAATTGTAAGAGATGGTAGCTATTGAAATACCAATACTATGCATTTGAGTACTGTTATTAGATTAAATGATTTATTTTAAAATAGGCATTTTGAGAGATCATAAAACATTCATCTATGACATTCTGTTAAAATCTGTTGCAAGTTTCAAACTGAAATGAATCCCAACTTTCCTTTCTGCTCTCTGCCTGCAATTTATATATACATTACTTTAATGCAATATGTATTAAGTATTCATTATACACACAGAATTATTTGTTACCTTTACAAAGACTTTGTATGTCATTTTAATTTCCGCACACATGAAAATTGGGTTTGCTGTAAGCTCTAAAATAGTCTAGAAAGACTATTTTAGAAAGAGCAGCTCTTTTGAAAGATCAGCTTTGCTTTGACGTTGTCGCTCATTAATCAGCTGATTTCTTGGTTCTACTCTATGCAAACATGGATGTTCAGGACTACTTCATATATCTTTTTTTTTTAATATATTCCAGAAGCAAGACCCAAATAGCTTAAGTGACTTCTTAAATCCACCTGCATTAAAACCAGTCAGCCACCTTGTAGGAATCCATACGGATCTACAGAGCACATTGCTTTGAAGGACTCGGTATCAGAGGCCTTGCAAGGAGACAAACCAGCTTTAAGATTTTGGCAAAAAGGATATCTCTGATTCTCTGAGTCCTCAGTTAGCAACTTGAGGTCCAGGGTGCAGCTTTGGATTAGCTCATCCAGTTTCTTCTCTTCCTGAGTCAATTCTGTGACCTCCTTTGTGAGGCCTTGGCGCTGTGCCAACATGCCGCCGTCCTCTGACAGGCTGCAGCCCCTACGGGTCCAAAGAACAGAGACACCTCAAACATTTGTAAAACCTGAGAAAAATGCTACAAGCAAGAGCATTTAATTTATCCATTTCTTATCCTCTTTTCCCTAACCTGACCAAAGCACGTGAACATTAACTATGTTTTTTTGTTTGTTTGTTTGTTTTTCTTAATACATTGTGTGACCTATGGCCGTCGATACAAAAGAGAGAAATATTTCTAAGCATTTATGAAATCCTACTTCTAAATTCCCTCTACTATAAACAGACCCTGAAAAAGCAACTGAGGAAAAAAGCAGGTAGAGAGGCGTCCATAAAAAACAAACTCCATTTACAGAGACAAATTAATTAATCCAATATTCTGGTTTTAAATTCTGATAGAAAATGCTATTTATACACTGCAACACTATCCTGATAGAAGGCATTTTGCATGGTTGCTCAGAGCAAGGTGTTAACATGGAAGCTGAGGAGAAAAAACGTGGCTACTTTGTAACAGTGAAATCAGCCAGGAGGAATGGAAAAGGATGATAAATACTCACATCCACTGAATGTTGTTTTTGGATTTTTTCTTGATGAGATGGATGCCTTCCAGTACATTGGTGATATCGTAAATCCTCCTTTTTTGCACCTTGAGGACTTCTGCCGCTCTGTTCAAGTCTAAGACCCCATCAGGAGATTGGCTCAGCAACTGAATGAACTTCTTTGTAAGAAGGCCAAGTGATGTATCATACCGAGTCTTTTCTGAAGGAGATTTTGGGGCTTGGAAAAAGAAAGAATATCCCCAAATAAGTCGGTTTTCTCATTTTGGTTCTGAAAACAGCATCCAGAAATGAAAAGATACGTATTACAGGTATTTCTTTCATTTTTTTACTGAAGAAAATTCTCCCACTCCTGCATTAAGACGCAACTTACCACTGGATATTTATTTGGATTTCAAGATGTACTTTCCAAATATCACAGGTACACGAGCAAATACGTATATTTTTTAAACACAAATATTTCCATTAGTCTGACAGTTACATCTAGCAATATTCTACCTAGGCTTTCACTATGTGAATTCTTAACAGTATTTTTAGTATCTATTTATCCTGGCACTCTCCATCAGGCTGATAGCCAACTTTCATCAGGGCTTGATTTTCCCTACTTGTAAGATAACTGTTTCACATGCAGTTAACCAGAACTTAGGTGTACTTAGTTAGGACGGATAGTGGATGAACTAAATGACAGATTCCATCAGTACCTTAATCCATGATTTACAGAAAACTCTGGTTAATTAGATGAGACTGACATAAAATATATCATTTCTCCATAACCAAACCAGGTTCAAACTGGGCAAGAGTATCCAATTATTTTACATTGAAAATTCTACAGCCTGGACCCTATACATTTTGGTGTTTCCACAAATTTAGTGTCTATATAGTGAATAGATTAGATTTAAGAACTTAACTATGCAGATCAAAATAATTTTGTATTATATATATATCAAGGCCTTTGTGACAAGAGACACAAGCCAGCCACTAACATAAGTCTGCTGGGTTGAAAGTTTCCCTGTGGGAAGGACACCATCACCATTAGCAAAGCCTTTGCTGTGCTTCTCAAACCTTCATTTACCTCCGGTTAGGGAAAGTATCACGAAGGATGGATTTCGGATTGATCTAGGAGTGATTTTTATGTTTTCAAATCTAAAGTCCCACATAATTGCAGAAGTCAGTCTAAACTGAAATCATATCTGTTTGCAAACCTTTAGAATGCCCTGAAATACTTGAAAGAATATGATGACTTTTCAATGAAAACCAAATCATTGCCTGCTTAAAAGAGAACCAGCTGCCCCTTATTCTTTGGTAGATTCAAGGCCTGACTGCACTGGGAAATGGAGGAAAATTCATGCCAGACTTGGTGAATTTAAAGTATTTTTTTATTATTATTTAATTTGGTTTTGGGAGAGGATAAGAGGATCAGATTGAGAAGTGAAAGAGTATCCTTGCCTCAGACCTAAAAAGGCACAGACCAGGCTTGCACAACAAGGGAATCTGTACAGCCTTAGCAACACTGCAGCACAGCATCACTTGCAAACGGTTCTGAACTTCTAGAAGATACTTGAATTTAAAACAGACTTCATTTAGTTCAATGAAGTTCAGTTTAATTAAAACAACATGGTGATTTAACTTATCTGCTTTAAGTTCACATCTTTAGCTAATTTGGCTTAATTTTTCTTGCAAGTCCCATAGAGACAAGATTTAGGCTCGTGGAGAGGGGCAAGTCCTTTATTGTCTCTTGCCCTCCCTTCACCACCACTGCTAACCCAATCCCTCCCTTTCCTCCCTTCTTCTATGGCACATCCTCCACCCTGCAAGCCCTCAGCCTAATTCTCCTACAGAAATCCCCACAGAGGATGCCAAGGCTACACCCCCCAGCTCCTATTGCACAGAACACACTTCCCAAAGCAATACAGATGTGTGATAATTGAAGCTGGTAACAACCGAGCAGCGACAGTGCATAATCCAGCACAAAGAAGATGGATCAGACTCCACAAAAAAGCATTTTGCATGCAACACTGTTGAGGCACAGCCACTAGTCTTTGCCAGCCCTTGCCAGAGGAACAAACACTACCTGCTCCAACTCCTAGGGGACAGCAGAAGCTGGACTGATTAGTCCTGCCAATAACCAGGCCTTTGGCCCTGTATTCCAGCTCCCCAGCATCTATCTTCTAATTTTGCCCAGGTTTGCACGCGTGGCTGCAGGAGTGACCTGGGAGCGGAGACCTTGCAGGCTGCCCAGCACGCGGAGGCAAGGCCTGCAGACGTGTGTGCAGCCTCCCCGCAGCCCGCGGCCGGGAGCGCGGCCTGGGAGCAGTGCTCGAGCCGATCCCAGCGCATCCGGAGGAGAGCAGCGGGAAACACACGCTGTCGGCTAAGCAACGGGGTACCGTAGTGGTTACCTCCCATCCCCAGCTGATAAAACCGAAAACTCTACGACACAGAGCACGATAGAAGCTCCCTTACTTTTTGGGCTGTCCGGACTTCTTGTTGCAGCTCTGCCTTTCCCTTTTGGAGTTTTTAGTCCTTCGGCAAGATACTGGTGACCACTTTCTCCTAGCTCCAGCCTTCGCTTTGCCTGTTAAAAAGAAGAAGAAGAAAAAAAGTTAACAGGGTGTCATGGAGCATATTTCACTTTATCAAACAGATTTGGGGGCTGTAGGAAAGGTGGGCAGCAGTGAACATTTCACAGCAATGTACTATATCTGTCCAGGTTCTTTCTCCATGCTCACGACCAGGAAATCTGATTATCTCCTAGAATATGCAAGTGGACTTAAATATTTCACTCTCAAAGGCTAGGTTGATGGCTACATTTGAGAGGCAAAAAAAAAAAAGTCATTTTTAGATTATAAAGATAACCAAGTTAGACTTGTATGACCTGCCTTAGCAAGGTCAGGATACCATATAGATGATACCACATGTGTGAAACATTTCTGCACTTAGATCACTTGAGAATGCTTCAATTAAGAAAACTAACAGTCTCTCTGACAGGCACCCATGCATGTACACACAAAACTCTGTTTTTACTGAAAACCTCTTTTTATCCCTATAAGCATGAGCACAGGTAACATTCATACAAATCAATTTTTTTCCTCCCCTGTTTCAATAGGCGGCTTTATGAGAGGATCAGTAAGTTCCCGCACAATAAATTTTCCAGCAATGCAGCCCCAGGCATTGTATCAAGAGCAACACTGGATAACTGTTCCCTTCTGCTTGTCAACAGTTTGTCTTTGCTGAAAGCACAGCCGCTAAATTTATTTCACATGAAGTACAATATTTGTGTTAGGGCTGCCTACGTAAAAACAAGATGGAGGAACTGGAGCAGAAATGCTATTAGAAAGAAGCGGCCTGAAAACTGAGCTCAGCTCAGGGCAAGGCTTTGTAGGACATTTTGAGTAAGAAAAATACTGACTAAACTGTTGGTGTGACACATGGACAAATGGCATTGAAAACTGCCATCAATATAAATTTTGTTCCTAGACAGAAACATGACTTACTAACTTTGGAAACAATTCTATGCTGTGTCATGCAATTCAATTTAATGAAATTTCATTTCAGGATATTTTTTTTCCTAACAATAGAAAGAGTGTTACCTGGCAAGATACAAAAAAAGAGAAGAGAAAGAAGGTTTGTGTCTAAGGAAAATTACCCACATAACTGTTTTTGAAGAACATTGATTACTCAACTAGGCTGAATCATTCAGAGTATTTTATTCGCTTGCTCTTTAGCCTTGCTCCAATAAGTTGCATCATACTCTGCTCCTCAGAGAACCAAGGTAAAATAATATGTTCTGCTATAAACTTGTAGATAGATGTTTCTGTGCCGCAGATTTAGCTCATGTGTCTTATTTTGGGTCTGTGACCCACAAAGGCTCTAAATACATTCATTCATATCTATTTATTTTTGGAAAGCTAACATCTCAGAGCTGGACTCCATTCGCAAACCTCAAGCTTATTAACAGGAGAGTTAAAGCACACAAAATTCATACAGACCAACACTCTACCAACATCTGCAAAGTGCCCAAGCCACTTTTCTCACTGTTTCGTGCAGAGGAGCCAGGCATTACCTCCTGGATGGCAGAGCAAAACCTGACCCGACTGCACCCTGCTAACCAGCAGGCACGTGAGGCCTCTGCGGCCTGATGTCTAGAGGCAGGAAATGTCTCTGGGCCTCTCCACACAGCAGCAGCTCTGTAATCCAAGGGCATAGACTTGGAAAAGGACAAAAGCGCCCAGCTAATATGTTTAGCCAACGTAATGGGATTAAATTAAGATTAATGCTATTCTATAGAGAGAAACACATTTCACACTTGCTTGAAAAGTGCTTTTTCCACCTTCAGAACTCAGAGAGCAGGAAGGATGGGTGAAAAGGAAAATTCAGGGCATGGGAGAACTAGGCCAAAGGAATATAACTAAAGACAGAGGCGAATCTCAAAAACAGGTGTGAGAAGGAAAAGAAAAGCTAAAGACATAAAATCCAGAGATTTGCAGTGGCTCTGTCCATCAGAAGAGAAATGAAGGCAGAGACTGCACATCTAAACTTTTTGCCTGAACTTGCCTGTAGCGTCCCAACAACGCTATTTTTCCCCGGCTTTTGTGGTTAAACACTTACAGCCTTCCCCTGTGAACTTCAGATAAGCAGGTTTGGTGGCTACCAACCATAAACAGCATCCTTTGGCTGCACACAGTTGTGCAAGCGAGTCTGGCTGTGTTTGGGAGTGTCAGGAACAACACGATCTTCCCGGTTGCTTTAATTACTAATCAGAGCACTGTACATACAGGCAGTGTAAGATCATTGACTTCTGGAAAAATACCAGGTGACAGAAACTCTGCTACAGTAAAGTTATTTAGTAGGACACAGAAAACCTAAGAGGGACATACAAAACAAAATATTTCAGAAGAGATTAGAAATAGATTAGCAAAGCTATAGAGAGGCAATTTTGGAATATTTAATTGCTGGCCAGACTTTATACATCACTCAGCAACTGATTCTTCTCCCCTTCCTTTTAATATACATACTTCATAAATGAGGAGACTCAGGATTGAAAGAATATGCTCTCACTTTCTTCTCTGTGACGTTTATGGCTCGAAAGGTTTTTTTTCTGTGTGCAAGAGATTCTGGATGACTCACGTTTTCTCTCCCCCTCTGAAGTTATTTGAGGACTTTCTGATCTCAGATGTCTCTTGAGAAATCTCAAGATCTGCTTTGAGCGATTGACAGAATCGATAGCCCTTTAATCTTAATCTCAATTTGCAAACCTCTCTGCTAGAGCACTGTATTCACTATTTGCACTATTTGTTCAAATTTGTGTTGTTTTTATATCACTTGATTGATCATAGCACACAAAAACTTCTGACATAATATGTGGGACTTGATAAGATGTACCAAGCCCATGGATACCCTTCTAAAGCATCCCAATCCTGTAGAAGTAGTGGAAACTTTTCAGTGACGTGAAACTTGAAAACAATAAATGGAACAAATCACATTACAGATTAGTGAGGATCATAAAAAGATGGAGCAAGCACATGGGACAGTCAGAGAGGTAAAGGCACCAACTCATACATCTAGAAAGAGACATAAAAGTCGTAGGAAAGCAACCTATTAATCTGAACCGGCCACCTATCCAACCCATTTGTGGGGACACAAAAAAAGGGCATCAACTCTTTGGACTTCCTTTTCTCTTGCAATACTGTGAGCAATTGCAGATGTGCATCACTATTCAGTGTGGACCCTTGGCAACAGGTGGCACTTAGGAGTTTTATGCATTTTTCACTTTAACTCAGTTCTTAATAACTAAGCTTAACACCACTGAATAGCTGCTGCAATTAATGTCAGAGGCACAATTGCACTCACGGTAGGGTCTTCATAGAAAGACTTGTCTTTATAGAAAAATAGTTCAAAAAAATCCTCGGATACATTAAATTTGGGGTTTCATGTCTTGCTGCACTAAGCCTCACTCCTGGGGAAGGGAATTGGCGCCAGTTTAGTAAGAATTAATAAATAAATGAACTAATTAAACACACATACACAAAAGAGCAGAGTGTTACCTTGCAAGAATGTAAGTGATAGCAGATTGGAAAGGAGAAGCTAACAGGCAGCAACAGCTAGCCAAGGGGGGGAATGGAGCAGTGGGTAAGAGCCTACTCATTTTGCTCATGACTGAGCCATGTCAGACGAAAGCCTCATTTTCTGCATGAAAGTTTGAGGGAAGAAGCAGTAAAATTCCCTCTAACTCTTTCCAATGATAAAACCATGGAGCATAAAGTTGCCAAACTATGCTAACTGTTTTTTTTCCCGCTAGATGACTCCCTCAGCTTTAATATTGGACATGAAACAGTTCTGCTGTTTGCAAGAGACAGGCCTAAGAAAAAATACATTTCCCATAGATCCTTCTCAAAACCCCGGAATTTGACATATCCCTGCACCTATTCTACTTTCGAGCAGGAACAGGATATTTGACAGGAGGATGCTTAGAGCCAGGCATATACCTTTGCTAGTCCCTCAAAACCACAGGTTTAAAAACACTCCAAAAAGGGTAGCCGGTATATTTTCAATCTAAATATTAGCAGCCAAATTCCACGTCAGATGGCAAGCGCCACAGCTCTTGGGCCTGGCCAGGCTACGCACATGCCATCGGTTGGGAGGGCTGGACTCTGCTCCAGCACAGAGCGAGACGGATCCGATTCCCGCGATTCCTCGCAGGCGCTCAGGGCGCGCTAAGGGAGCAGCAGCGGCTCATATAAACACAGAGGAACAGGCGCCGATCCCCGAGCAAACCAGGACAAAGTCTGCCGAGACGGAGCCAGAAGAGAGAAATCACTTACACCAAGAAACTGCAGCGAGGAGCTGGAAAAAAACTCCGGCCCGAGCGGGCACAGCAAAGCGGGAGGGCTGGAGTGACCACGCAGAGCAAGGAATAGCTGGCGCATCGCGCGCGGTGGCTGCTGCCAGAGCAGGGAACAAGCCGGAGCAGGAGACGAGTGGGAGCAGCGCGTGGCAGCGCTCGGCGGTGCCTCCGTCACGGTGCAGGTTCGGGGAGGGCAGATGACTAAGCCTCGTGTAGGCCCTCGGAGATATTACAATTGCTCGGGCCAGATAAAATGACAACTTTTCTGGATGGTGCCATGGCGCTGATATTGCCGGGGAGGGGATCCGAGTCTAGCCAGAGAGCACAGATAAATTCTGACTGGGCTGCGGAAACCGTAGCGCAGGCACAGTGACAAGACAAGCACGCTTTGCATAAACCTCCCCTCGCGTCTCCAAAATTCAGCGAACGTCTATAAACGCAATGATGAAATAGAAGGTCTGAGGCACGAATCCTAGAAAACTGCCCTGGAGGTCAACAGCGGCAGAGAAGAAAGCCAACATTGCACGGGAAAGGCTAAAAAAAAGGCACCTTGGTGAGAATTTGCAAGGTAGGACTATTTCTGTACCAGGTGAGGCCATATGGGCTATGCCCTTTGGACCCATTCAAATGAACCCAAAAAACTCTGCAGAGCAGTTCACACACACAATGATGCTCAAGGTTGGCAAAAACATGCAACATGACTACGGAAGCACTGCCATCGCACTCCTAGG